TGTTAACAGTGTGAGCGGGCGCAGTCGTTGATCTCCTTGATGTGGATTGAAGTCCCGTCAAGGAGATGATCGGCGTCGATGAAGCAGGAGGCAGGTTGAAGGTAATGAAAACTTGAAGGTATATTACAGCGAAATATTTACAGTCATATGTACATCTTGCCGAAGCACACTCATCATAACACAGACATCAACAGCGTCTTATTCTTCTATTTACCTTTGCTTAAGTTAGAGCCCAGAACACTGTTACTACATACAACGTACTTAGTCTCACTGTTCGACCACCAAGTGGTTACGGCCCAGACAAAAGTTGCATCGTACGGAGTCGTACTGATCTATCAGTTAAGTGATTGCAGCCTCGACTGAAGAGAAACAGATTCCCTCCAGTCTTAAGCATCTTTCGGTAACAAAGAAAAAGGGGAGGTGGCCACTGCTGGTCCGCCTCAACATTCTCTCATCCAATCTGTTTCCACTCAGATTAAGTCACTCCCTACTGGGCTGACCTTACTCTCGACAGCAGCGCTTCTACAGTTTAAACAGGCGTTTTGGTACTCTTTCCCATCATGTCTCTCTCTCTCCACGTCCCACGTGCTCAGGAATTCTCTCGCTCAGGAGATATCGGCATTGTAGACCCGGTACATTCATGCCTTTTCCCACACCCAGCGAGCCGAGACGAACCTCAAAGCCGGAAGTTAAATGATCGCGCGCGGAACCTTATTGCCCCCGCAGGTAGCAAGCGGCCTTTGACTTTCTCCGCTTTCCTTGTGTTCGGGTCGTGCATCGCTGCGACTTTGAGCCGATCGCCAGGGCAGAGCGTGTCGCCTACTTCCACTGAGCTCGCGCCCGGCAGCGGAGGCAGGGCGGGGTCGCTTTATCCCATCGTGCGTTTGCCCCCGGCAGCGGCGACTTGTCTCTAAACCACAAACATTCCAAGCCGGTTGGCAGAGCGGGTTTGTTTCACATTGTGTGTTTGTCCCCGGCAGCGGAGGAGACGGACGTAGTTTGCATTCCAGAGGATAAGTGGTGTACAGTTACACGGGCATACCGAGAGAGAGTCGAGAAAGAAGCTTTGTATAACGTAGCTTCCCGCGCTGTCGTCCCATGCTCAAAGGAAGCAATTTGCGACCTTGCCGGGAGAGATCCGAGAAAGAAGCTTTGAATAACGTAGCTTCTGGTGCTGTTCCATCCGCACGATCAACTTATGAGCGGCAAGGCACAACAATGCTCATGTCCATCCGTCCGTCCATTCAACCATGCCCGGGCATGGTGCCAGGTGGCCGCCGGGACGCGCCAACGGACGCCGGTCACGTCGGTATCGCCTCGCGCCGGACTTAAGAGCCCTCGCGCTTTGCTTGCGTAGCGTCGCGCTGTGCTCAGCGTGCCCCCTTTTGCACGAAGGGAGTCACGCGCAGCGTGTTACATTCTGATCGGCCCCATCTCCATGCGCACAGGCTTCGTTCGCCGAGCACGCTTTGACATTTACAAAGTGCCGTTAAATTTTATTTGGGCAGTTGCAGTTGTTTATTTATTTATTTATTGGTACCTCAAGGGTCCTTAGGGACATTACTGGAGGGGTGGGCATCATAAGTAAAGAGAAAACTATAAACAATATAACAATGAACATCAATAAGTCTAAAATACAAAATGTAGATACAAATGGCGGCAATAAAAATAAGACATTCCATTTCACAAAGGCAAATCCAAAGGCATCAATTCATTTATGTTCGATAGTATATCTGAAGCGTGTTGCATCACGGACAAGTGCAACATCTTTTGGAAGGCCATTCCAGTCTCGGGCACTTCTGACGAAGAATTACTGATGGAACGCAGTGGTGCGGGTACGGGGTGGAATTACTGCGTTCAGGTGGCTTGTTCGGGATGTACGATGAGTCAGTCGAATCAACCGACTGTCACGAGGCGTGGTGTGAAAGATTCTGTGTTAGAGGTAAAGGCGTCAGATGCGGCGACGAGAGGCAAGGAACACCAGCTCCAGCTTAGACGTTAGAGACGAAAGGCTTGCGTGATACGAGTACTCAGAAAGGATAAATCTGGTGGAACGGTTCTGGACTGATTGGAGAGCTTTAGTGAGATTAGATTGGTGGGCGTCAAAGATAGCAGAGGCATATTCAAGTTTAGGTCGCACGAGCGTTATGTATGCAAGTAATCTTACATGTGACTGAGCCATGAAAAGGTTTCGGCGAAGGTAACCAAACATTTTGTTCGCTGAATTGATAATGTGGGTTATATGATCCGTCCAAGATAAGTCGTGAGACAGGTAAGCCCTAGGTACTTGAAGGAATGCACATTAGCTATAATTCTGTTATTATTCTTATACACGGAGGGTGCATAGTTGGGTCGACGATGAAATGAAATGTTCACGGTCTTACTGGTGTTCAGTGACATGAGCCACGTGGTACACGAGTCTTGAATACGAAGGAGGTCTTCCTGAAGAGTACAAACGTCGGAAGAGTTATTGATAGGGCGGTACACGACGCAATCATCTGCAAAAAGACGTATTTCAGAGGTTACAGTAGATGGCAGGTCGTTGATGTAGATTAGGAAGAGAAGCGGCCCTATAGAACAGTGCCTTCAGCCACGCCAGACAGAACGGGTGAAGTGGATGATGTGTAGTTAGCGTATACGAACTGTTTCCGGTTGGTTAAGAAACACTCAATCCAATTGCGAACAAGCGGATGAATGTTTAGGCGCGACAATTTCAACAAAAGACGAGAGTGAGAAACCTTATCGAGGGCCTTTTCAAAATCTAAGAATAGAGCATCGGTTGGAATGTTACTGTCTAAGTTTGAATGAATGTCCTGAGGGAACAGAGCAAGTTGAGATTCGCATCAGTGACCCTTCCTGAAACCATGTTGATTTGGATGAAAGAAGTTCACCGAGCTTAGGAAATGAGCAACTTGAGAGTAGATGACGTGTTCCATGATCTTGGAGCATATGCTGATAGTGATTGATAGTGATGATAGTGATTGATAGAGTTGTGATTGATATTCAGAGCAGTCTGCGAATGACAATTGAGAAGCCAAGGTAAAAATGTTTTTTTTGTTTGCTGTGTGCTCGAAGAGTAATCGTCGTGATTCGAGTTGTAGTGTAAGCGCAGCGTCAGGTTATTCCGTATTAACGTGATAGCGTTAGAGACCTTGTTTCGCAAAAATTGTGGCGTCGGCGTTGGTGTCAGCCTCGGCGTCGTTTGTTGAGAGTGAAAAACGATTTTGTGCGTGACTAAACAAATGAGAGAGACACAGATAAAATAAACAATAAAAATTCTGGGTCCAAGTGCACAACGAATGCCGGTGGCTTGCGTGGTAGGCGGGTGTTTTACCACACAGCCACGCGTCTGCTTGTCAATGCAGTGAAAATAACTTACTCTTCTTGGAAATGCAGTGAAATTAACTTTCATGCTTTAGCGAACACACGCGTCCTCTATACATGGTTCACAAGAAAACATGAAATATTGCAGTACTATTGCGGGGTACAAGCGTCAATTACTATCGGGCGTCAGAACATGTGATTCTCATAACGACTTCATGGTTTGAAGCTGGTCACCCACTACAAAAGGCACACACGTTACTGCGCGCCTACCCGTAAGGCCACATAGTGGGTGCTTGGCAAGTTCGAAGAAATTTTATTCCCTAAGTGTTTGATGTACGCACTAGGGACAGGATATCGCTATCGCGTTCAACTCTTAAAGATAAAGCTTAAGGGTCCCCTAATATTTATACAATATTCAATCACTGCACTGGCTGAACATTCCATTTAAGGCGGTTGGGTTAACGAGCTTGTTTCGTAGAAATTCCGGTGTTGGTGTTGTTGTTATTGTGTGAAAAATCAGCATTGTCCGTAGATCACAATTCGAGAAAGAGGCCAATAAATAATTACTAAAGCATGTTAGGCTGTAATCAAAATTTAACTAAGGACGTCTGCGTAGAAAACCGGTGTTCTACCACAGAGCCACACCAATACTTGAAAGTGTTTCGGGGGCAAGCCTTACTAATGTCAGGAAACTCTATGACGCGTGAGGTGATTCGTGGCAGACGCGTAACATGTGAATACCGCAACAAGTTGGTGGTTTTAAAGCCCTATCACTACAAAGTGCTCAGGCATAACTAATCACTATGATCAACAGGAACAGCACCAAGAAAGCGTGCAGGTGCGCTGGTGTACGTGTTGCCTTACGGACGCCTACTTGACCAATTCGGTAATGGTATAGAGAGATGGTGGAGTAGGCACTTTGCCAAGGCACCGTATAGGCGTTCTCAGATTCCTTGAAATGACCAAAGTTGCATGCATGTTGCTTTCTTTAGAAAAACAGAGAGCTGATCGAGCTAGTTCGTGCGTATTTATTATAAAAAGAGAGGGCGTGGAAACACGAACCCAAGAAGGAAATCAAGACGTCACAAACGCCTACTAAGAACTGAAAATGGTCACGATGGCGAAAAAAAAAAGACGCGAACACTTCTCTGCACATGCTCATGATGCGAACGAACTTAACCCGGCACGCGTTTTTTTTTCTTGTGGTGCTGTTGAGATGTCGACCGAGAAGTAAAGTGAGCCTCGCGATTGAGAAGGCAGTGTGAATGAGGCCCGATACACTTTTCTGTTCTGCTTTTAAAGGCAAATCTCAAGAGTCCTCCGAATTTCTAGCACACGGAATGTAAGTTAGTACGTGTTGATCAAGTGCGAAGAGAGAAGCACGTGTGTTCGCCACCCATCCTGCACCGGGTCGGGCCATGTTGTTGCTGGTTGTCTCACCGCACGTGTTTTCAGGACCGAGTGCGCACGTACCCCGCGGCCGCGTCGGGTCATGGAGCCGTCACCGGCCGACAGCGTGGCCGCCATTCTAGCTACAGCCTCTGCGACGAGAATTTCGGGTAGCAGCCCGAGTCTCGAGGAGAGAAAAACCCGTGGCCCGCTGGTGGTGGAGAGAGAGAGCTCCGACGGGCGCACCTAAAAATAGAGTCCGCGTTACGGTGCTTCTAGCCGGGGCAAGCCGCAACCGGCACCCGAGCCGACCATTTCTCCTGGACCCGCGCGAACCTCGTCTGTCGGTCGGCAAGACAGAAGAAAGAAGCTCTCGCGTCCTCCGCTGCGAACGCCTTTGTGCACCCACCACCCGCGGCTGCTGTGGCAGGGAGACGCCCGAAGAAGCCGACCTCCTCGCCACACTCCTGTCCCATCCTCCGTGCTACCTTGATCACATCCCTACACCTCTCTCACACACGACCCACCCTCGCACCCACGCCATCTTTTTCGCAGTTCGGTCAGGGTCTTGGGTGAATCTGAGAAGGTTGCGAACCCGGGGGGGCCAGGACAGCGAGACCCGCTGCTACGCCTCAGCAAGAAAGTGCAGCGGTGGCTTCTCTTCGACAGAAGCTCGGTACAAGAAACGGAACAGCTTCGCCCTTATTCTCCGGGACTCACTGCCGTCCTGTGCGAGTCTCCTGAATCATCGTTATTGCAGCGAGAACTGAAAAACGTGCCTCTACAGATGTTCTCGTCCACCGATTGGCTATCAAGGCATCTCTGAGTCATAACAAGTGGAGCGGCACTTTTTCGGGACGCCACTGTCCGGAGATCTTCGAAAGCAAAGATGTCGTGGTAAGTGATCTGCGTGTGGCGAAACGTACAAACCGCACAATTACTTATTCTTCCTGGGAGGTTCGTACTAATTTTGGCTATACGGTCATAGCTGATGTTTTGATACGTATTAGTTTTGCGATAAGCTAATGCGTATCAACATGCGTCTTAGGTTCCTCAAACTTGAACTAGACAAAAAAAAAAGATATGCCGGGACGTACACATGGCCTACCCTAAATGAGAATCTGAACTTAACTTTTCATCATCTAACTAGAAGTTTCGCAAGTCGATATGTGTTCCTCTCATTCTGAAAGTAGTTTTGAAATGATAGACCGTTTCCCCAAAGTCATCTTTTATCAAACGCTCTGAAAAGTTCTCCTTTGTTGAGCGTTTTTGTTTTATTTCGTGTTTGTATCTGCTAGTCGGCTTGCGCTCATTATTCTTCACATTCAGGATAGGAAAGAAACAAGCGTGGTCAGCTATACTTTTTATAAGGAAGTATATAATAAAGCGAGATGTACAAAACCTTTAAAATGATTGGATAGGTTAAAAATGGTACATGATTAGGAATTCACGGATCACAGTGTCGGTTTCTAGTACACACGCATTTCTTTTCGAGCCACTGCAGTGCATTTTTCGAACGCGAACGTCCGTCAGTTATACTCGCCGATATATTCTTTCTTGGCACTTGTTTGTTCTCGTTGCATTATGATGTCGCCAGGGCAGCGTTAAAAGCAATTAAAGAAGCATAACCAATTTAGGGTCTCCTTTGGTAGTATTACTATAGCTCCTGCCAAAAATAAAGTTAGCACTCCTAACTTTTTTTTTAAGCTGTAGCCAAACGGGAAACGCCATCTTCTTTGTCTTACGGTGAAAGATCCATCTTGGAAGCTCTGACGTATGGCAAAAAGCCAGGAGAAATCAGGGGCAGAAAAGTGTCTATCTGCGTTGCTGTCACAAGTGTGAGCAAGAGTAGTGGCGAATGATGAAATATGAACAGCTAATTGATCACCCGCGAAAATAAAAAAAAAAACAAGAAAAACAGGCAAGACTATAATAAGACGAGCTGAATTTTGACAAAAGTTTATCTCTGATATCATAAACACTGGATGACGCTCCAAGTGAAGCCAGGCTGACTGCAATCCAACCATTCCACCGGTGACACCCCTAACACTAGCCCTAAAACAAAACCCACTTCAATGTGACATGCAGAGCCGCATCACCCGAGTGCCGCAGTCTACGTCAGCGTTTTCCGCCGGCACACAGAGTTTCGAGCGTCCATAGAAAAGTGGCTTACCATGCTCTTACGAAACTTAACTCTGAACATTAAACATGATTTCGTAAACCAGAGTCGAAAACACAAAAGACCAAGAAGCGCCACGTGTGAACAAAGTTGTGGCAAAAATCTAATATATACGTGCACGTGCCTCCCAAGTTCTCCACTACTATAGAGCCCTGCGTGGGTGCTCCTGTCAAACGCCAACATTCCTACGCGTTTGGGAAGCTACCTTGTTTAATAAAAATGACCGGATGTTTCAAAAGCGGTCTTCAATACCAGTTTGATTACTTCAATATCATGTGTGAAAAATTTAACATAGACATTTGCTGATATTATTATTACGGGAAGAGATTTCTGCGGCACCGTGCTGCTGATTTTCATGATCATTACACGTGTGACGGGGCGCTTAAATTGGGGAAAAAAAATTTGGCCATTGTCTGCGGAATGCCGACTCCACTTTCATGTCTAAAAGGCGCAGGTGAAGACTGCAAAAAAAAAAAATAGAACTCGCATATATTTTTTCCACCGTATACGGACAACTATACTCCATAAAAAATCGGAAAATCAAATTCACGGTGCGGTGGCCGCATTTCGACCGGGATCAAGATGCTATAGGCCCGTGTGGTTACATTTAGGGGCATGCTACAAAACTCTAGGTAATCAAAAATTTCGGAACCCTTCACTACGGTTCGAAAAAAAAGACCAAAGAAGAAAGAAATAATATCACAACAGCAATCACAACTTCAGTTGCCTTGGCCCACTGGTATGCTCCAATCATTTGCATTGAAAGTGATGAGGAAGCCTTTTAGAAACACACTGTGATTATCCTTGGCCGTCTGTTGGAGCATATTTGATGATCGCTTTTAAGTGCGGAACACTTTAAGGGGCCGAGCTGTTGCATGCGGTCGTCGCCGCTTAGTGTAACGCGGGCAAAACTTCAACATCGGCAGCTGTGGCATATGGAGCGTGCTCGTGCCAACGAGGAATCTTCTTCCTCATGTTATTACAGCGCTTTGATCAAGATTTTAACGCGTCTTCTTTCTGTTGTTTTTTGAACGCCTTGATTATGATATAAGGTGCGGATATTACTTCTAAGGCTAAAGAAACACGACAACACAAGTCGCTTATAAAAGTAGAAAGACGAAGCAATCGAGAAATAAAAAGAGAGTGAAAAAATATAAATTAAAATCGAAGTAACGAGAAACAACACAGAAAAAAAAATTAGCAGATCTCACGTACAGTGGGAATCGATGATATGCAAAGAACGAAGGAGGAAGGTATATATGTCAATGTAAAATTAGCCCAACGTTACGAAGCCGGTGGACGTAGTACACAGTAACCACAATTAGAAATGTTATTAGCAGTGACGAATCTAGTTAAAATGCAAGCATGTTGTTTAAGGTCACGTAGCGATGGCACCACTAGTGCTTGCAATACCAGGACCAGCAGAGGTAGGCATGTCAATTATGCCTTACATGACATCTGTGGCGCCCTATGAGTATAGCATGTAGTCATGTTTTACATCACCCGCATGTCATGAATATCATGTTTGGACGAGTCATTTACCTTCATCGTCTATTCACGTGACGTAATACCAAGTTTGGTATTTGTGAAGATAGCGAAACGGTCATGAGCGCGTCATGAGCGTTCATGTAGTCATGTTTGACATGACAGGCATGTCACGATTATCATGTTTGGACGTGTCATTTATCTTCGTCATCTATGCACATATTGTAATACCGAATTTGGTATATGTGAAGCTAGCAAAACGACCTCGAGCGCACCATGAGTGTGGCGTGTAGTCATGGCTCATGACTAACATGACATGCATGTAATGATTTCCACGACAAGGCCTGTCGCGTACGTTCGTCAATACCATATCAGTTTTGCAGCATGTCATGTGGACAAAACCACTGCAAGAGCAGCAAGACCTTAACACATAAATCATTACATTCATGACTTCTTGACATGTCATGATTTTCTTGTTATGACTAATGATTTACGCTCGTCATACGGTGATGTTATGCCATACTAATTTTGACATAGATGCCATTATCGAAACGGACAGGACCACTAAATGTCGTAGGTGCATAGATAGATAGATAGATAGATAGATAGATAGATAGATAGATAGATAGATAGATAGATAGATAGATAGATAGATAGATAGATAAATAGATAGATAGATAGATAGATAGATAGATAGATAGATGCTCCGCATTTAAAAAAATTGGAAAAGAGAACAGGAAAGAAAGAGAGCAGTAAACAAAGCGAAAAGCAAAGTTCTGCCCTTGCATCAGTTTTGGCACCACTTGGGCTAAGCTGCCTCTTTATTTCGCATATGACATACAAACAATGAACTTTCCTTTCTGGAAATATTTTGCACTGTGAGCGCTGTGCCAGTAGCCTCTCACATGCATTGGATTTCATTTCATGCATTTCACATGACAATGCCTTCTTATCTTACTCTATTTTTAGACAGTGCTCCCACGCTTTGAGTCGCACAAACAATATGCGACGCGCGTGGCGGTTTTATTAATTTGGACTTCATTCAGAACGTAACGGCGATGCTAACGGGGAAATATACCCGGGGTACCCTTCTTTATATACCGTTGCAATAAAGCTAAGTAAAGAATATATTTTATCTTATATTATTTCGCGAAGATGACCACTCAGTGACTTCCTGATCGTGACAAAAAGGACATGCTTGTTTCCGAAATGCTAACGATTCTCCGGTTGCTTATTTGCAATACCTTTACAACATGAACAGGGGATGTTAATTTTTGTGTAACATCTCGGCTTTGATAACACTTGTACAATTCTGAGAGCTCATTGCTTACTTGTAACAAGATAAGTAAAGGTAGCGAGGCGGGACCATGAGGGTTTTCTGATCAAATGCTTTCATGGCCATAAGCTTTCTCATTATTTGTGAAGTAACGACATATTTTTCTGCTTGCTTACTTCCTGGGACAGACTGCGAAATGTTTTTCAATTCAATTGATCTTTATTGAACATGCATATCTAATATGTTTCATGAATGGACATAAAGCCTCAAAGTGGAATGAGCCACATGTGCTGCTAAGGTGCACTGAACCAATCCGTATACCGGAACATAAAATAAAGTGGTATGAATTGTGTATCTGTATATACACGAGAAAAAAATCGGTATACATAGAAATTTCAAAACTGCACATGGCTGCGAAAGAGTGCAAAACGAGAAAGAAATATGTTCATAATGAAGATCCATAAATATACTATGATACCTTCACTACATCACACATGAAAGAAATAAAAAGAATTAATCTATTGAACTAAAAGATGACACGTTGTATGCTTATTCGTATATGCTTCCTAGCACATTAGGAAACGTCAAACCTGCGTTCGCACCGCTGGTTCGTACCAATGTTTGGATGCTCTTTTAGCAATCCTAGTAATCTGTACATTTGTGCTTGACTTGCAAAGGTCAGGTGACATTTGTCAATTTTTTCTACCTCGGGATGGCGCGTGTTGTACGTAGGGGAATCTTTTGTCGACCTTCATTTCAGAAGAAAATTTTTTTATTGTTTTGAACTTATCTGGCTGAAGTAGTCTGAAGCTGCATGCCACTTTATAGCCACGGCAACAAAGTAACATCTTAATTGTCAGGAGGCGTTTATTTTACATTCTGTTGGCAAACTCAAGAAAATTGTAAAATCTATAGCCGAATTACGAAGGCTTTTTGTATATACCGTACTATCTTGGA